TTTGTTATGACTATCACATCACATTCATTTCAAGAGCAATGCACTCACACAACTTGTGTGCTACGGGACGCAATCACATGCGGTAAAATTGCATGATCAAAGGCATAAGTGTTTTAGGGGAGGATGTAGCAGTTCGGTTTTAATTGCCACTTCACATGTCATGCGCAGCCACTCAGCTTAACTTATGAGCAAATGTAGAGGCAAAGCACTGGAGATCTAACCAAAACATGAGATGCATAAGAGGACCAAATTGGAATATAAGAAGGAAGTAGGTTTGAGGCCGGCCACCTTTCTTGCCTTCGTATTTTTGATAAAACATCCTTAAGCATGGTGTCCTGCTCTGACAATGTCGGTCACATGATGGACAAAATCTCAGTAATGGTTCATTGGGGTCGCAGGGCGGTGCGCCGAGGACCTATTAGCACAAATCTGCAATCGCAGCTCCAAGGCAATCCCCCCCAGTTTCAGGTGGAACCAACTTACGAAACCCATCCGTTCGCTTCTTTAAAAGAAATGAAAGATACCCCAGCATCATTCTATTAAGGGATTCTTCGAAACCCAGTTTTATACAAATGTAAATAAATACTTCAGATTAGCAACTATAAAAAAATAGGAAATGAAAATATAGAGAACTTTTTTGAGATGTTGCTATCATGAGGCTGATTTTTCATGAAACTAGGAAGCACTTAGCTAAGCAATCCGTATGTGTTATTTCCGCCACATATTTTATTGAACTGGTGGCATATTTAGCAAGATAAGTTCAAAATAAATAACTATGAAGACTGGAAATTTACGGACAAGAAAGAACAATGTAGTCTAAACCTTAATTTTGAAATATAAAATGGGGTACTCATAAGAAAACTTTATGAAAAATTAACAGACTATACGCTTACCTCCCAGTTTTCTCTCGTATATATATATAAATATGAGCTAGAATTTAACTCAGAAAATGTCTTTTTCTTATAAACATCTCAGGGAATACCTTTTATAATACCAATGGAATTTATTAATATAAGCTTAACTACTTTGGAGAAGTGTGTTCTTTATAGAATATATAAAAATATCTACTATATAAAGATAGCAATGAATAATATATACAAGTAAAGTATTAATAAATCTATCAGGAACGGAAAAGACAATAGAAAACTCACACATCGCTTATCTCTCCAGAAGCATTTCTCCTGTAAGGCTGTTGAGCAAATGGATATAGTTCTTGGTCCCAGTGAGGAAAGTTGTCGGATACCAGATTAAGGTTCAAAGGCGTACCAAGTACCTGGGGAAGCAGAAAAAAATTATATGCGTATGGGGTGTGTGCAAATGCAAACAAGTTACTGAAGAAGGCATTGTCAAGAAGACTGGCTTAATATGGTACAGTGGCATAAACAAGTATGCACTGGCTATATACTAGATCCTATAATACGAATATCATGTCAAGAATTTAAAACATATGTGGAAATATTAATGGTCTTCCAGGCCAGGCTTGAATAAGGATTGAAATAATTCGTTTCATTGCCTGGGGAAAAAATGCGATATACATATTTTTATCCCCTCCATTTTATTGAAAGGATAGGGGTTTGCTGAATATCACTGCCGGTTTCATTGTGCTTCGATCTCAACTAACTGACATATCTCATAGGTATCTAAAAGTCATTCTTCTGGAAATCATAATAAGCATTATTTATTTTTTTAATCAAACAATAAAAGTCAAGACTGCATAAATGCTGCAGTGATACGCAATGGTTTCTAGTACTAGAGGTCTAGCTTTTATACCACCACATAAAAATTAATTTGAAAAGTGATGTAGGAATAATGATTTAGGCAAATGATAATAATGACTGTATATACAGATAAAAATGAATTTTAAACATATTTATAGATGGTAGAATTTTGACTTAAAATATACTTATAGAATAAGGGGTGGATGAAGATAAATTAGAACAGATAGGAGAAAATGTGGGTTCAGAAACCCTCACGTTTTCATACCATAGAATTTCATTAAGCCATAGTCACATTCTTCAAATAAATTTGTCATTCCTCTATAGATTTAATCAGGCAATAATCTATGCCTTGGCGTATAGTTTCTTAAAATATTAATTCTGGTTGCTTAATTATTTTGCACAGTTTAGTGGCATGTATTTGAAAGGTGCTGTATCCATGTATGATGAAGAAATTCGTAGGTTAATTTCATTAGATGACGGTTGATTCAAGTTGTGCTGCAGCCGTTTGGCCTTAATACGACGTTCAGGTTGACGTAGTCCATGAGACATCCTCCATTGTTTCGGACGAAGACGGACTGAGCTTTCATTAGTCATATGACAAACATCATAAGAACTGGGACTCATTCTTGCAAAAGCCCAAAGTTAACATTAGATCAAGAAGATTACACCTATCCACAAGTAGCACTTATTTTTTATTTGACGGCAAGTTTTGTAAGCATACACAAGGACTTGCGATAAGATCATGCCCAGTTCTCATATTGGAGAACAATTATATATAGGCAAACTTAAGGAACACTTTTTGAAAGAAGAATTACTGATCCAGGAGTTGCGGGTTGGATACATGGTTGACTATTTTATCATCTGGTCTTATGGTAAGGAAAGCCTAGATAGTTTCCAACTTAAACATAACCAATGTAAAAGGAACATTTTGTTCACAATGGAAATAGAATGGGATAGGTCCTTACCCCTTTTGGATGTTCTGGACATTAGAGAAGAAGTTAATTTAGGATGAGATGTTTATAGGGAGCCAATATAAGTTAGGTCTTTACTGAATTTTCTTTCCAACCATAGTTACAAAACTAAGGTTGGAATCTTGAAGTTATTTAATATTATGAATATGAGACTAGATTACAGTAACCATTTGAGTAAAGAGTTGGAATAGCTGAAAGATTTATTCCTGAAAAATAATTATCCTTTAGGCCTAATTGAAAACAAAATCTCTTTACTAAGGAATAAATTTTCAGACGGAGACGACTTACTCAAGGATATTTGTTTTAAGTAGGTTTTCGAGACTACATAACTCATAGTCAAAGATAGACAGGCTGAGACCTTTTATCATGTCCTAATTGTGCGATCTTGCCTTTTTTCGGAAAAGATAGGCGAACTAGTGAGAAAATGGGTGATGAAAACAGTGTTCAAAGAAGCCGTCTCACTTTCTTAGGTTATGCCATCTTTTAGAGGGAAATATGGGCCATTATTGAGATCCGGCTGCTACAAGATTGAGTGCTCCCGTGATCGACCTTATCTTGGTAAGATATGCCAAACTATTAGACAGAGATTAGGGAAACACAAAAATACTTTTAAACGCAGCTGGGTCCAACAGGCAAAAGTAGTTGACCATTGACCAAGACTGAATATGAGATAAAATGGCCTCAACCGAGTAGGCCTACTGGTCATGGTTCGTATGCTGTTAAAAGGAATATAAGAGAGGTTATTGAAATTAAGAGTTTAGGAATGGTGGTAAAAAGTTGAATAAAACTATTTATTTTCGTATTAGAGTAGAGTTTAGAGACTACCAGTAAATCAGTAATATGAGATCTTTTCACCCCATTTCGTCTAAGGTGATAAAGGACTGGTAGTAGAATTTTCCCACAATAATATGAGCTGAGCTGACGTTTCCATTGAATTTCACATAGCCTTGCTTTCACAAAATTTGTTCTCATCCAGGGTGGACTGCTGGTTCGACTTCGCATCGGTCTTATCAACACCCTCAGCGGGAGTCGAACCGCGACAGTGCAGGATAGGAGCTTGACACGCTAACCACTCGGCGGCGTAACCGGTTCGACTCCCCCTGAGGGTGTTGATAAGACCGATGCGAAGTCGAACCAGCAGTCCACCCTGGAGGAGAACAAATTTTGTGAAAGCAAGGCTATGTGAAATTCAATGGAAACGTCAGCTCAGCTCATATGATTGTGGGAAAAATCTACTACTAGTCCTTCATCACCTTAGACGAAATAGGGTGAATACATCTCAAGAACTATTTATGTTTGATTGAGAGATTGAAAAAGAGCGAGAATTTTGAGCCACCATCCAAAAGAAAGCGACTAAAATTGTTTGCTTAGTTATAATTCTAACTTTGCATGCACTCGTCCAACCTAACAAACTAAACCAGACGTATCCGATTACGTAGCCCTGGTCACGTCTTTCCTTGGGTGGTTAAACCTTAATGCGAGTTTATGATAGTTGGTTTCGTAACCTGACTTACACCCTTACAAGCTTACATCTCATTATCTCAACAATACTTGCAAACGGACTTACGTTGTCTCAGTCAGGGCTTTTTCTGTGTTCATTAAGCTTTGATGACCAGAACCTGACACTAGGCTTTTATGATAATTCTGATTTAGGACCGTTATTGCGTGTAGACGTTAACACACACAAACACACATTTAATTAAACGTATTATAACAAACATTAAAGACAATTAGCCAAACTATTCTATATTTATATATGCCTATACACTTTCGTTTTTTACTTATGAGTAGAAGAGATAAGGAGTAAAAGGTATGATATGTATATATGAGGTAAGATATGTCCGGAAATTCTTATCTATCAAATATGAAAGTGAGAATTTTTCAAAAATAAAATCCAGTTCTGATGATATCCATCATATACTTGACGAAATCTCGGCCCATTTCGATCATAAACGAAGGAGGATGTCTCGTCGTAGTAAGGCAAGACGGCTGCAGTACAACGAGAATCAGCCGTCGTCTTATAGAAAGATCGGCCCTAAAATATATTCTTCATATAATTTCATGCAAAATGAAAGTTCCGCCAACAATGTTACCTTAGGAGATTCATCTGAATCCAATTATTCTTCGTATCTATCGTAAATACGCTGAGTAACTAATGATAGTTAACATGCAAGTTAGAGCCAGATAGCCTTCATGATCTAGTGTTAAATTGAAAAATTCGAAATAATGAGTTACAGCTCTGGCGAGGTCTATGATATGATTGACTAAAGCTCAGCTCCTTCTTACTTAAACCAAGAAAGGATGCCTCGTTGAATACGCTTACATGAACGTAGTAGTAAAATCAAACAATAAAATTAGTATGCAATTCCTCTCCTTATAAGGAATGAGTTTTGTTCCTTCATTAGTGCTTTATTTGCGGGAGGTCATTAGTGAGACCTTTGAAAAGAATACAGAGAACTCAAATTTTCTGTTTGAATAATAAAAAACTCAGTTAAAAGGTGTTTATTAATTATGTAAATAAATATAGAGAAATTTTATAAACTCAAATACCTCGGGATGTAACGCACGCAAAATAAAGTAACAAAAATTATAAGTATGCTGGCTGCTAAAGACTATTTCATGGACCTTATATTACTATAAAAGCCAAGGTTAAATAAGAGACGATCTATATATGGCAACTAAGAGGAAGAACAAATGTTAAGATGATACTTTGGAATGTTGGCTTATAATACCCCAAGCATAAATAGCCTTAGGGAAAGTCAATATGGAAGTTTAAAGGCAGTTTTGCATAAATAATCTAATTGCTAAATGGAATAAATCACAAGCATAGTAATTAATGCTAATGAAGCAAATGTTATAGCTTAAAGAGATAATAATGAGGAATATCCTCTGTTATTAAGAGATAAAGGATTTCCCCGACAAATAAATACGTTGTAGAATAATTATTAAGTGCTGGAATACACTTGTCTAATAATGGAAATACTTATTTAGTATGTATCGCTACAGTTTTAAAATATTAGCTGAAATAGCAGCCGTATATGCCATGAAAAAAATAGCCGGTTAGAAATCACAACTAGTATGAAATATTTAAAATTTACAAAG